GTGTTTCTCAAGCTATCTGTGGGGAAAGAGCAGTATTTCATTTTTCTCTTTAATTTCCATCAGATATGTGTTCTTATTGCCCATGAATAGTAACCTGCACTATATATAACTTAGCACAAAAGTTTTACAGCACCTGAATTGATTTGCAACCTGTTTAACAATATGTTAAATATTGCTATGATTTTACCTATACCTATCTAGTGTGGACTGGAAATAAACAATTAGCAAATAGTCTTTGAATTGACCTAGTCCCAGAAGACTATCTTACATAACCTAACAAACTCCTTTGAAGCCTAGTGGCAAAAGCAGCAGCTAAAAAGATGTGACGTAATTAAAGAATGTGCACATTTTAAGCCTAAGACCCTTTTCAAACAGCATGGAGTTATTTAACAGAAATATCAGTGTTCACGTGCCCATAATCACTGGCATGCACAAAAGGGTTTTAGATTATTCTGTAGGGATCTGAGCTACATTAAAGTTGGTAGGTCACTAGGCATTTTGGATTAATTGATTTTGCTACAAATATAGAACAGATTCTGGAAGCCTCAAGACCATGGTAGGACTGTGGACTTAGACAGTGAATACAAAATAATTTTCAATGATTGTAGAAAAAATAGATACCTTGGAAATTATATGATAAAAAGATATGTCCCTGTGTGTGAAGATACAGAACATCTGAGTTTATAAGGAATATCCTAAATCTATTACAGAAGTAGAAAGGGACTTAGTCAAATAATGCCTCAGAAAGTTGGCAGAAACTAACTTAAATATTCAGATGTGAAGATGGTGGTGGCGGGAGGTCCATGAGGCGGGGGCAGCGGTGACCTCCGCTAGGGAGGGTCAAGGTCGGGGGAAGCCGGGATGGCTCCGGGGCAGGGCCCTGGGGCAAGAGGTACCAGGCTACACTCCACTGGCTTCTTCCCCGGCCTTTGACTGCCCCTATCAGCTGGGGCACCTGGGGGGCATCTGCCACTTCTGGCACCACAGGAGTCCCCCCGCAGCAGACAAGGAAACCGGGAAACAGAGGCCCATAGAGGGAAAGCCACTGGCCTATGTACACACGGCCACTTTGCTCTCTGAGTGCTGCAGGAGACACATCTGCATGTCTGCCTCTGTGCTGGTGTTTCTGTGGAATGGATTCCCACAGAAATCTTAGAATTTTGAGTCTAAGGGTCATGACATTTGAACTGCTCAGAATTGTTACGAATCTGCTTTCCAGAAAGCTCAGTCTGTTCATGGCTCCAAAAGCGAAGGAGATTTAATCCCATCTACAGAGTTGCTTTTGCAGGGTAAGGGCTGGGTTAGGATCCCTACAACTCTGAGTTGCCCAAGTCCCCAGAACAGAAAGAGAATGGCGCCCTGGGCCAAGGAGACTAGCTGGGCTGATATGTGCAGGAGCTGGAGCGAGTCAACCAGGCCATCGGGGCCAGGCAAAGCGAGGTGGAGCTGCTCGAGACAGCCCGCGAGTACAGCTTGCACAAGGCAACCCCTTGGGTACCTGCGACCCCGCCACCGGCAATGCCGCGGGCCTGGACAAGGACGCCTTTCTGCCAGCCTTTTACTACAACTTCAGCGGCCTATTAAACCCTGATGCCTGCTACCAGCCAACTCCGCTGGCCACCCCCGCTGAGCTGGGCAGCAGGTACTCACTGGCATCCCTGGAGAAGGGCCCGGGCACAGGCGGAGGGGGCGACAGTGCCCAGGCGTATGTGCCCAAGGCTGTGAGGCAGCCCTGACAGCACAGCTGCCCCGTCACCAGCGACAAGTATGTGGTGGACAACTCCAAGTCATCCACTGATCTGGAGGATGATCCGCTCTCCCACTACTCGGCTGGCACCTCAGCAGGGCCAGCTCCAAGGATGAGAGGGCCACCAAGTGGCCCAGAGGCTTCCGCAGCAGCAAGCTCTACATACCTGCCCTCAAGAAGCCCTGCGACCCCTTCGGTGACTGCAAGTTCAGGTTGTCGAACTCTGAAGATGATGCAGCCATGGTTCGGGTACTGCAGTGCGATGTGTGGGGGATCTTGGGCCACCCCCGTAGAGACCAGACTGGGCGGCCCCTCCAAGCCCTCCTCCCCACCCAAGGCATGGCAGGATTGGGGCTGCCCCCAGGAGGAAACACCCAAGAGGAAGAAGAGCAGGCCACACCAGGCCCTGGCCACAAGAATGGTGCCTGGAAGAAAGACAAGACCAAGGACAAAGGCCAATGGCAGCCTGTGGAGAAGCCCCCAGTGGACAGGCCAGCAGCAGGCACGAGGCAGAGTGGCCGGAAGGGACCAAGAAAAAGCCATCTTCGGCCACCCAGGTGGCCAGTTCGGGGGAAGGGAGGCTTGACCAGCTAGGGTGGCGCCCGAGCCCCTCCAATGGGGACCCCCAGCACTGGGGAGGGCACAGCAGGGAGAGGCAGCCCCGGAACCACCCTGCTCTCCAGCATGCAGCAGGCTGCCTGGCCCAGGTCCTGGCTCCAGTTGGCCAACCTCTCTGAGGCTCAGTTTCCCTCTCTGGTCCAGAGACAGCAGTAATTGTAGGGCCCCTGTGCAGTGACAGTGAGTTAGCACAGGAAAAGCAGAGAACCTGGCTCTCAGGATAGCAACCAGGAATCCCGGCCATCCCATCACCAGACCCTGCCCTGGGGGAGGGCCTTGGGATTCTGAAGCTGGATTCGTCAGATTATATTAAATTAGATTGGATTAAGTGTCAACCTAATCAAAGGCCTGGGTAGTCCCACCCATCCTCTGCCTATATATTAAAACTGAGAGCACAGCCCGGGCACTCAGAGTAGCCAGCACTCGGCAGAGTAGGGCCAGACAGGAGCTCCAGGAGCGAAGGCAGCATGACGTTGAGGGCCACGGCACCGTGCTGGTTCCCACCAGGGCATCCCGAAGCTTCTGAGGTAGCCAGGGAGTCACCCTCCTCAGCTCTCTGGCAGTCCGCCCAGGTCTGCCTATTCTGGGGGCCCCAGATGTGCAGCCAGGCCCCAGAATTTATTGTAATCCAGGTGGAGCCCCCAAGAAGGGTTCCAGCGGTGCCCCCAGCCTGGCCCCCGACTGCCCAGGAGATGTGCTACCTGCGTGCGCAGCAGGCACAGAGGGAGTCGGCCAGCTGGCTGCAGACCTGTGGAGCTGATGGCAGCCTGTGGAGAAGCTCACTGTGGACAGGAAGGGCTAACAGGCCAGCAGCAGTCAAGAAGAAGAGTGGCAGGAAGAGACCAAGAAAAAGCCATCTTCAGCCACCCCAGTGGCCAGCTCAGGGAAAGGGAGGCTCAACCGGCCAGGGTGGCGGCAGAGCCCCTCCAGCGGGGACCCCAGGCGCTGTGGAGGGCGCAGCAGGGAAAGGCAACCCCGGCGGTATCCTGCCCTCCAGTGTGCAGCTGGCGGAGAAGTCCTTTTCATTCCACATCTCAGCACCTGGCGAGAAGACGAGGATCACCCACGTCCCCAACCCCTACTTGGTCACAGCCCCCGTAGGTGCCAGTAAGACCCTCGCGGCCAGCGGTAGCCAGCCTTCCCACGGTCCAGAGGCCGGCCGCCAGCCGCTGAAGACTCGCACACTCTCCAGGATGGCATCCAAAACCTCCAAAACCACCACCACCGTCACCCCCAAGCTGGTCGCTCGCAGCCGAAGTTCAAAGAAACCTATTATCTTAAAAGAGTTTGGGGACAAAGTCCCCACCGTCATCCGGCGGCGCTATCTTCTCCTCTTCATCGAGGAGTGTCTGAAATTCTGTGCCTCCAACCAGGAGGCCGTAGAGAAGGCGCTGAACGAGGAGAAGGTGGCCTACTACCGCAGCCCCAGCGAGAACATCTACCTGAATGTGGCCATGAACACCCTTAAGAAGCTGCGAGGCCTGGTCCCCAGCACCGTGCCCGGGCTCAACAGGGCCGCCCTGTACAGCCGCCTGAAGGAGTACCTGCTCACCGAGGACCAGCTCAAGGAGAACGGCTACCCCTTCCCGCACCCCAAGCGACCAGCGGGTGCCGTCATCTTCACCGCCAAGAAGCAGCAGCCTCAGAACTCGTCTTGCAGGATCTGCTGCCGCTGCGGCACTGAGTACCTCGTGTCCTCCTCCGGCCGCTGCGTCCGAGCCGAGGAGTGTTATTACCACTGGGGGCGGCTCCGCCAGGACCCAGTGGCAGGACGCTGGGAGACACGGTACAGGTGCTGCTTGGCTGCCCCCAGCTCTGTGGGCTGTCAGGTAGCAAAACAACACGTGCAGGATGGCCGGAAGGAAAGCCTCGAGGGTTTCGTGAAGACCTTCAAGAAGGAACTCTTAGAAGACGCTCACCCAGGAATTTACGCCCTGGACTGTGAGATGTCTTACACCACGCACGGCCTGGAGGTGACCCGCGTCACGGTGGTCAACACAGAGATGCAAGTGGTTTATGACACCTTTGTCAAGCCCATCAACGAGATCGTCGACTACAACACCAGGTTTTCAGGGGTGACGGAGGCTGACCTCGCCAACACAAGCACCAGGCTGCGGGACGTCCAGGCAGTCCTGCTGAGCATGTTCAGCGCAGACACCATCCTCATTGGACACAGCCTGGAGAGCGACCTGCTGGCCTTGAAGGTCATCCACAGCACCGTGGTGGACACGTCTGTGCTCTTCCCCCACTACCTGGGCCTCCCCTACAAGCGTTCCCTGCGGAATCTCACGGCCAGCTACCTCAGACACATCATCCAGGATAACGTGGACGGGCACAACTCCAACGAGGACGCCGTCGCCTGCATGAGCCTGGTGTTCTGGAAGGTCCGAGAAGACGCCCAGAGCAAGTGATGACACCCCTCCCCCACCCTGCCGCTCGCCTGCTGCCCCGCCCGTCCTTAGCCCCAGGCCTCTCAAAACAGTGCAGTAAGTCTCAACAGCTAACCTTGTCCACCTCTCTAAGACACAGAAAACCAAGAGAAGCAGGACTAGACCGCGGCACAAGAGAACAAAAGGCCAACACTAGCCCTGAAGCTCCGAGCCCCTGCCGAGGCCCCTCTCTCCTGTCTGTCCTCTCAACCCATCCCAAAACTATGTCCTCTCTGGCGGCGACTGCTGCTAACTCACCTGGCCCCACCCCCACCTGTGCCAACTTGCCCCTCTCAGCACCCCCAGCCAGGTCCTAATCCCGTGTCCTAATACGTGGTGTGGAGGATGGGCGGACAGGGTGTTGTTACCGGTTTGTTTGAGATAGGTGATTTTTTCATTTTGTATTGTTATTTTTAATTTAAACCTAACAACTTGCATAGTGACCGTCCCCACCTAGAGCGCATGGCCCGCTGCTGCCTTCCCTCCTAGGGGCTGGGATGGGTATGAACCAGACCCAAGCCCGGGCCCAGGGGCCATATCCAGCTCAGTGTGGGCCTGGAGCTCCCAGCTCCACAGAGGTCAGTGTGCCCTGGGGCAGCTGACTTCCAGAACTCTACCCCCACACCCTGCCCCTCCCCCATCCAGACGCCCCGCCCCAGAATCTTTGGCCTTGGACATTGTCTTTCCCAGGAGCCCTGTCCTCCTCTGTGAGGCTCCCATATCCCCTCCTCTCCCTACCCCTGGTTTAGGGACAGAATAAATGTTTGTATGTATTTCACAGTGGTGTCCAACTTGTAAAAGTCAAAATAAACACACTGAGATAGATTAAATCTGTTACTGCTCCTTGAGACTCTCAGGCTTTCTACTGTATCACAGAAGATTAAATTGCTAAAACAGGGTTAATTTTTATAAAAGTTGGTGGTGTTTTACTTCTAGTTTTCTGATCACAAAAACCTGGAATTATCTTTTTTTCTTTTTTCTAATAAAAATCTATATAGTCAATGAGCAACTACTGTCCGGTTTTAGTCTGAAATGTTGGTTCTTGGCGCACCCATGGCAAAAGAATGACCAGACACACTAAAGTTAGGCAAACACAAAAACTAGATTTATTGAGGAGAGAAAGATAGGCTTAACGAGCAAGAGCAAGACAGAGGTTTACAGAACATGATACATACACCAATGATGACAAGACGACAACCAGACCCACTGTCGCAGCAAAGGGAGAGAAAAGGAAGGGCACAAAAAGCGACCTGGTTATGGTCTATGTCTTGTTTTATAGTACCTGGATTGTGACCTCCCTAGTGGCTCAGACGTCACCATGGAACTACTTTCATTGCACAGTTGGGAGCTGCATGACCCGAGTCATGCTTACTGACCATGGAGATATCCCATGAGCCTCTCTTAAAGCCCATTTGGTGGGGAGTGAATCACAGCAGCATCCATTTGCCCCTAGGAGAGCTGGAATTCCTTGCTATCTACCTAACACTACTATTATGATTTAGACAGTGGAAATACCCATGGCCATCTCTAGTAGTGGTCTCAGAATAGGTCCAGAAGTAAAAATGAGTCTGACACATTCCTTAAATATGACACTTAGGGCTACTGGGGCAGAACTTGGAGGCCACCAGTCAAACCACTGCTTATCCCCCCAGGAGATAAAAAAAAATCCCCTAACAGATAACAAAGGGGGTGAATCCTAAGAAAGAGTGAGTATAAATTGCAAATATTTGATTCTATTTCTTAGAAGATTTGATAATATGTCATTTAGGAAAATTTTATCAATGGATAGATTCAATGCCATCTTTATTTCTCTAACATAGATATTTTTAAAAGTCCATGTCTACATATAAATGTGAGGCTTGCTTTATTCACAGAGTTTCTTTTGAAGGAAAATGAAACTTTATAATAACCAATTAATTCACCAGAATCTGATGCATTGTAACTTTACAACTTCATAGTAACTTAAGAAATCCTTAAGTAGTAGGGACTACATAGGAGTTTCATTCTTTTAATTCCACTTTTCCTACATTTTATCAAAATCTTTGTTATTTTGGACTTATCAATATTCCATATACTTTTTTTCAGATTTAATGATACAATACACACATAAACATATTACAAACTTGTAAAGCTAATCTTTACTCTTCTATTACTATATCATTATATTCTTTGGTATGTGATCTTAAAGTTGCAGAGTAAAATAAGATAAAACATATAAAATTATAAGAATTTTACAGTTCTTTTTCGGGTTCACTAAATTTTTATTATATATGTACATTATCAACTTATTTCTAACTCAAGAGCTTTTTAATAAACTTTATATAACATTTTCTTAGTTATTGTTACATATTTCATTTTATAACTTTTGAGAATTTTTCTCCTATTATAGTTGATGCTTTTAAAAAGAAGTTTCCAGTTTTTGACTAGTGAACTCATTAATCTGTAAAGGAGCCTTATTAATTACATTACACTCTTTACATAATATGCTAAAGATATTTCAGATTCATCTGTCACTATTACCTACCAAATTAAAAATAATTCCTGACTCCCTCAAACATGACATGTATCATTCTCTGTCCAAATCCTAAACTTTGATAGCATTTTAATTTCACATCACTTAAAAATGATCTTAAATTCTACTCTGAAGGCAACATCAACAGAACTGTGAAAAAATGAGTAGGACAGATTTTAAAAGTTTGGGTGGAGAGCAGAGAGTACTTCTATCTCACAAAGCATTTAAAATAAGGATGAAACAAGCAAAAAAAAAAAAAAATAAGCAAGTGCTCAAATGCACTGGAATGTTGAACAGAATAGGCATAATAGAAGAGAACATTTAATTCAGCTTGTCTGACTATTTTAGCTGTACTCATTACAGAAGATTAATTCTTAAGAGGATTTTAAAAATTATTATTACTTTCAAAACAGCTAATTATCTCTGCATGATACAGGTGTAATAACAGATATACAACACAAGTTTATTTTAATCATTTGGACAGTGGAACCGATCACAGAAAATTTCAGAATACTCTCATTCCTGCTGATGGGCTGAGTTTTTAAAAATTACTGTATAAAGTCTACTTATAAACATATTAAATTTTGGAGTATATTCATTTAACTCTTTTTGATTCCATATCATGATCTACTCAACTCATGTTTAAAACTTCCATACCTCAGAAACACATTTCTCAATTATCTTACACATGTTTGAAATGACTCTAACTATAGATATACAATATAGACGCATAAATAAACAGATTGCAAAATTCTTTGATATTTCCACTAACACATCTTATTTACAAAAGAGAGTTGAAACATGTTACCACATATGAGGAAAAAATTATATATTTTATAGTTTGCAAAAAAACAACAGAAGTTTGTTGACTTTAATGAGGCCTAGAATGCCCTTCTGTTCTAATAGTGTTTTCCAATGGTGATATCCTTAACATTTCGGTCAGGGCAATTTTCATTTTATCAGGCTATGGGAGGATATTCAACATTTCCTGTTTTAGGAAACAAATGTCAATAGGATTCCCCAGTCAAATATCAACCATAAATTGCTCCTACACATATCTCAATTCCCCTAGGGGGATAGGATTGCAACTCCTGAGTGAGAACCACTGGATATGAAGGGGCCCATGTATCTTCTACATCTCAAATTTTCAAAGATGAATACTTCTCTTTCTCTTCCCAACCTCACTCATTACTTTCTAATGAAGAAGAGTTTCCTAAGTCCCACCTGTAGTTCCAGCAGGTCAGAACTGACGCAGTCATTGAATGCCTTCCCTCATTACCCCATTGTACATGCTGTGTGATCTACATAGAATCTATGCTCCAGAACTGGCCACAGAATTCCTAATGGTACGGCTTAACTATTCCTTTCTCTGTGAAGCATTTCCTGGCCTTTTCCAAGTGAGCTTCAATATCCCAAAGCTCTGTACTTCTCCTGCCCCTTATTATAGGTTGTATGCCATATTTTAATTATGTACTCATGTACTTTCTCCCACTTGAATAACTGAACCATGAGCTCTTTTAAGTCACTTACATCATTTTAATCATTTTTTTTAAATGTCACAAAGTTGTTAAGAGAAGAAACAAAATGCAGAAGAAGTAAAGAAAGCCAAGAAATTCTGAATAATCAGACTAATATAAAGTAAATGAGTACTTTCTTATAGAGAATATATTGGGATTTTAGAGAAAGAAGCACCGTCTCACATGCTTCATATCCTCTTATTCACTTCATTCCACCTCACTGGCTCCTTTATTTAGCCACACTCTTTGACAGTCACAGAAAAACAGGTTTGACATAATGGAAGAATGATTTTACTGTTCTCTAATGAGACCATTATGGTCAGTGACAACATTTTTGCATGGGATTTGGTTATTATCAGAACCAGGACTTGCAATTGGACAGTGCAAATTTCATTTCTTAGCCAGGCACAGTGGCTGACATCTGTAATCCTAGCACTCTGGGGGGATGAGGCGGAAGGATTACTTGAGGTCAGGAGTTCAAGATCAGCCTAAGCAAGAGCAAGACCCTCTCTCTACTAAAAACAGAAAAAATTAGCCAGGCATGGTGGTGCATGCCTGTGGTTCCAACTACTCGGAGGCTGAGTCAGGAGGATTGCTTGAGCCCAGGAGTTTAAGGTTTCTGTGAGCTAGGCTGACACCACAGCATTCTATCCAGGGCGACAGAGTCAAACTCTGTCTCAAAAAAAAAAAAAATAAGAAAAAATAAAAAATTTCATTTCTTGTGTGGGATTTTAGCAACACTGAATTATACATTTATACATCTAAAAAAACAATATAAAGCATGCAACATAAAGCAGTATCTTCCAAGACTTATTAAGCATTCAAAAACCACAGAAATTTAAGAGTAATTAGGGTGTTCGAAGTGTAATGGATATATATATATATATATATTGGGTAAGGCATTGTTCACAGTTGCAAAAATAGTTTACAGTCTAGGTGAACTAGTAAAGAGGAAAACTCAAAGTATAAAACTAGAGCAAAAGGAGATCTATGTGTCGAATGCTTTGTGGCTGTACACGTCTTTACAAATGTTGGCAAAATCAGACTTCTGT